CCCCCGCCTCCTCCCCCCCCGCGCCCGCCACGATCCTTCCCTCAGGGGGGGCTGCCCCGGCGCGCCCGCCGCGGTGCCCCCGGTCGCGGCTCCCTGTGGTCCCGGGCTCCCTTCCGCGGCCCCTTTCCGGCTCGGAGGACGTCGGAGCTAGCCGGAGCAGCGTCTGCCCTGGGAGCCGCATGGAGCGCGCGGGCTCGTCCTGCGCTTTTCCCGGTCGCCCGGGCGGAAGTTCTCCTTCCAAGTCTCGGAGTTGTGCCGCCACGTCCCCTTCGACATGCGGGGCCGCGACGTGATGGTTTTCCTGCACATCCAGAAGACCGGAGGCACCACTTTCGGGAGGCACCTGGTGCGCAACATCCGTCTGGAGCAGCCTTGCTACTGCCGAGCGGGGCAGAAAAAGTGCGCTTGCCATCGCCCGGGAGGCGGCGGGGACAAGGGCGACACCTGGCTCTTCTCGCGCTTCTCCACCGGCTGGAGTTGCGGACTGCATGCGGACTGGACGGAGCTCACCAACTGCGTGCCCGCAGCCATGGACCGCAGGCGGGGCTGTCCCGCCAATCGCACCCTCAGGTCAGTTGTTCGGTTCTGCCGCAGTCTAGCGATAAAGCAAAGCTGGCTCAGTTTCCCCAGTTAGGTGGGTAAACGATCAGGAGTCGAATTATTTAACAAGTCGCACAAAAAACCCGGCACAAATAAGATTAACCGATCTGACTACATGTCCTCTGGCGACTAAGACTGTGTTTGGGCAACATATTGAAGACAAATTAAGATAAAGATTAGGTGCTCCTTTGAGTTGAGTTCCACACCTGGTGAGTCCATGGACACACTGGTACAGAAGTGGTTTGCTAGTGCTTTCTTCTCTGATACAGTATTCATAAATCTTATTATTACAACCCATTCCCTTCCTATTTCCTAGTGGTCTCCATTCAACCAGGTCTAGTCCCACATAGCTTTTTGACATCATTGAAAGTTGATTACATGCTGCCACCTAGCTGGGTAAACCACAAACTAGCCAACCACATTTTAGCCACTGCATTATGTGAATCCAGCCTACATGGTTAAATTATGGTTCAGTGTATTATTTGAATTCAGAAAATTGGGTTAATTTTGTAAATCATGAGTAGGTGTATAATGTGACCATGATCTCTTAACTACATCAGGAAAAAAAGTAATTTTGCCTTTCTCAGATTGGACAGTATCTTTAACATTCTATAATAACCTTCATAAAAATGTATTTGCCATAGGAAATCAAGCTGATTCCAAGCCAAAAGGGGCCTAATCTCAAAAAAAATCTCCAAATGCTTAAAACACTATGCAGTTTAAAAATTATCGCAAGAAATACAATTCATTAGTTCTAAATATTATCATTGCATGCCAGGCAGCAGTTATGCACATATTTGAGATGATCAATTAGGCAAGTTTATAAATATTACATGTAAGGTAATGCAGTATTGTAATCATTATGGATCTGTGACATATTTCATGGTTGAATAGGAAAAAAAAAACTACACAAAAACTTTGTATCCAAACTTGCTTTGTGTCATTGGCAAAACTGCTCCATTCAAGCAAATTATAGATAATAACATTTTTCATATATGGCTTATTTTAATATCACTGTTGATGCATTCCTGAAGGCTTTTATTGCTGGCTGAATTACTAACTTCTTGTACCACTTGTTTCCAAGTGGAAAGTTTTTATATTGTTCCATACAATGTTTAAACTGGATTTTGGCTGAAATTATTGGACTGGATTTTGTTGTTTGAAAGATTTGGACTTCAGTGATATTCACAGTAATTGGGCGCATATTTGCGCATGCAAAATATGCTTTGGGTGCATATTTTTCACTATCTGTTTATACTATCTAAGTACTTTCAATCAACATTTTGACTGTAAAATTGAATTTTTGCAAAATTGGAGGAAAGTATGCTAATAAAAATATTGACTCAGTTTTTTAAAATTACTACCTTTCAGTATATTTTGGTTGTTTGGAAATACAATAGAATCAACAAACTTTAACTCTAATTTGAAAGTTCAATACCTGTTGTTGCTGAAATCAAACCCTGACATTTTAAGAAGAAAAAGCCTTTTTTGGTTAATATTTAATGTATTCCTTTATATACTTTTTCATACGCTATTTGGCACTCCAGAGTATCCTCAACAATTCTTATCTTGTCTTTTGGATAAAAGACAAAAAGTATAAAACAGTTAAATGTAACCATACTTGAGTATGTTCCTCCCAGTGGGAGTTTGTCTTCCTCACATCCCACTGTCCTCACAGCTGTATATGTCCCAGCTCTGCTTCAAACAGATTTGGGAGCTTGTTGGAGAATGTAGAATTCATTCTGCCAATAGTGTCCTTTCTGCTATGCAAGGACACCATTACATTTTCTGTCTTTTAGATGCTAAGAAGAGTAAAAAATAATTGAACAATCAGATGAACTGTTAAGTTGTATAAGGTTATGTACTGCTCTTGCTGGTTTTTGGAAGAGAAAAGAAATTAGTGTAGCAATTTAAATGATGAATATGAGTATCTGCTATAAAAGTCAGCTGTTCAAATGA